TCCAGTGTCTCAACTAAAGGCTACAGCTCACCTGAAAACTCAAACAGCCGTTCTTGTTAGTATCAAATGCCTCGAATAGGAAATGTGCATAACTGGTTGAATCTGAGAGAGAGAGAGAGAGAGAGAGAGAGAGAGAGAGAGAGAGAGCAAGAGAGAGACTTAGCGAAATCATTTTGATTCTAGCCCATATTTTTGTGAAGATATACTTATTTATTGTTTTGCACATGATTAGTGAATCCTCCAGCCAAGTTTGAGATCTTTGTGATTTACGTTTTTTATTCTAAACACATTTTTAGGGAAGTAAAAATAAAAATGAAAGCAAAAACAATTGTGTGTCAGTGACGTCGCAGCCTGGAGGCCTAAAGATCAGAGCCGAGGATCTAGACCTCCAGTAGATGATCAGGTTTATCTTCTGATTCCAACGTTGCTGAATATGCCATTGTTTGTTGCTATGGTTACTGATAATGCCATTGTTTGTTGCTATGGCTACTGATTATGCCATTGTTTGTTGCTATGGCTACTGATTATGCCATTGTTTGTTGCTATGGCTACTGATTATGCCATTGTTTGTTGCTATGGCTACTGATTATGCCATTGTTTGTTGCTATGGTTACTGATTGCTTTGCGCACCTGTTTCTTAGCTGAATTTACACCATGACTTTATTATCATTTTTATGGTATTCCAACTTGTACAAATCATTTACATTCTCATTGAACTCATAATTGCAGCTTGTAAACTGCTTGAATTTTCTGAGAGCTCCTAATTGTACCATGTGACCGCTGTATCACCAGATTCAGTCGGCCGATGACAGTGATCGCGTTCACTGAAACGCAGTTTCCAGTTCGAGGACGTGAAAAGTTTGGAGTAAAATGTCACGTGTGGTCATCTGGAAATTACGGTAATGATGTGTGCACTTGTGTTTAGTTCTCCTCGCTGTCTGCTATGGTCTGTACTTTAGCAAAGCTGTTATGTGGATTCTCGCCCACTTAAAAGCTTTTTTTTTTTATAAATTGAAAGTAAATCTGCTGCAATTGTGATCCTCTGTGACATTAATTGATTGTTATAAATATCATTGAAATGAACATTATATTATTAACAAAAATATGAATATATAGATGTAATCAGAAGGTATATTGGAGCAATGCTGTCTCACCTCCCTGTGGGAAGAACTGCGAGTAAATGAGTTTAAAGATGTCCTCGTCCACCACTCCACTGGGACATTCCTGAGACACACAACAGTTCCTAACATTAACACTGAAACCCCCAACATTATACAATATACAGTGAATTAAGAATAGAATCGAAACGTAGACCAAATAGTAACAATTATTTGTTCCATATGATGGTGATCTTCCCAGCTGATGAACTGGCTTTCCACATTATATTATTTAAGAAGAGGAACGCTCACATTTTTGAAGGCCCTGTAGAGGAACTGCAGCTCCGTCTTGCTGAATCGGGTCTCTTCCTGCAGCGCTTCCAGACCCTCGGGTCGATGGCAAACAAAGGTGCTTTCCACCTCTTCCTCTCTGCTCTCTGTGAGAAAAACAACCTCTCCTTAATTTTAATACATATATATATATATATATATATATATATATATATATATATATATTGTTATAGTGTAGCGCTTAGTGCTTTAGTGATAAATCAATCTTACTTTCAAAATATGCAATATTAGGTGCAAAGTAATTCAAAACATAATAACTAGTATAGTTATTAGTTAATAATATAATAATAACATGTAAATAATAGCATAATAACTCTTTTCTGCCAGCTGGTGGCGCTATAACTGTGAACCACAACAGCAACATCCATGTGATCAGCCCTTATGAGCAAACACACAACACCAATCTGATCCAAATCAGACAGAAGATGTGTGACTCTTCCAGTTTCCCATTTTTGTCATTAATCTAATCCATCGCCATGGCAACACCATTTAAGATATCAAAAATGTGTTCGCAATTTTGCATCTTCAATGTCTTGGGGTTATCTTTTTACCAAGTTTGGTGAGAATCGCATGAATCCCCTTGGAGGAATATTTAGAAAAAACATAGACTGTAATTTTCAAATTCTCAAATTGCTCAATAAGTGACAAATTGTCCGACTTCCTGTTGGTCGGAGCTAATGCCTTAAATTTTGAAAATGATTAAGCTTGATGAAATCAATATATATATATATATATATATATATATATGTGTGTGTGTGTGTGTGTGTGTGTGTGTGTGTGATTATGAAGCGTTCAGATGCAAAAGCCTCTAAAAGCCATTTGAAATTTTCTTCTAAAATGATCATTTTTATCAAGCTTGTATATTTAAGTTCAGTAATTTCACTTAAATGGCAATGATAATTACCTATTAATTGTCATTTAAGTGAAATTACTGAACTTAAATATACAAGCTTGATAAAAATGGTCATTTTAGAAGAAAATTTCAAATGGCATTTAGAGGCTTTTGAACATCTGAACTCTTCAAATATATAAAGTTTTGTGAATGTAACCATGATCAACACTATTTAAGACATCCTTTGGCAGTTTTACATCAGCCATGTCTTGACGTTATTCTGACCAAGTCTGAAGTGAAGAGGACGATTTCAAGGCCTTACACACTTCCTGCTGCCAGTTGGTGGCGCAATGACTGTGAATTACAATAGTCACATCAGACAGTCCATGTGACCAAACATACAGCTCAAGTTTGATCCAAACTCAATGCATGCACACACAACCTGTTTCACTTGTATGATAGTGTATCAGTTTCCACAATAATTATAACACTGATAACAACAATAAATGTGTTTATGATCATCAGATCCTCATATTAGAGTGATTTCAGGATCATGTGACACTGAAGACTGGAGTAATGATCACAGGAATAAATTACATTTACTGTATATTCACATAGAGAACAGATGATTCACACTGGAGTAATATTACACTGATTTTACAGTATTTTAACTTTGGTAAGTCTTTCAAAAACACAACTAAAAGTATTCCAAACTTGAACAAACACAGACTTCCGCCTCTCACCTCCTCCACGAAGCCAGCAGTAGAGCGGGAAGAAGGAGAGCAGCATCAGCACATACAGCGGTCCTCCTTTCTCCTCGGGCAGCAGGAGATCCAAGCCTGTGTGTCCCTGTGCCATGCTGTCCTCAACCTGTGTGTGTGTGAACCTCCCTTCCAAAAGCACACCCACACACTCCAACCGCTTTTCACGGCTCTTTCTTAACACATCATGACGCTTGTAGAGCAACAAAAGCCTGCATTAGTAATTCATCAGCTGTTTTCACAGTCACACAGGACTGGAGAACACAGTCGCCTTCTGGCCCGTCCGTTATCATCGTGATCATGTGTAAACATTGACTACTTCCACTGAGAAATACTCAAAACCAGCCGCCATCCCAGCATGCATCGAAACAAAGTAGTGCGGTTGGTGTGTATTCTAAGGACAATATCAAAAATCGATAAAAGTGTGTTTTACAGAATACAGTATTTTTGAGTCTAATTACCTTCATACTGGAGTGAGACTGAACACACACCTGAACATTCAGGACTCACAGATGTGGAAAACCCAGCTAGGATTTTTTTGTTCTAAAAATGTTCTGAGAACATTACCATGCAGTGTTCTAATAATGTTTTCAGCGGGTAGTTTTCTTTTGGTTCCTAAAATGTTCTCTTAAAAGTTCTAATAACATTCTCTAAAAACATTCTAAATATGTTAAATGCTAACATTGTTAGAACATTATTTCCTGACGTTCTTATAACATTTTCAGCGGGTAGTTTTCTTTTTGTTCCCAGAATGTTCTCTTAAAAGTTCTAATAACATTGTCTAAAAACATTTTAAATATGTTTATTGCTAACATTGTTAGAACATTATTCCCTAATGTTTTTATAACATTTTCAGCGGGTAGTTTTTTTTTGGTTCCTAAAATGTTCTCTTAAAAGTTCTAATAACATTGTCTAAAAACATTTTAAATATGTTTATTGCTAACATTGTTAGAACATTACTCCCTAATGTTTTTATAACACTTTCAGCGGGTAGTTTTCTTTTTGTTCCCAGAATGTTCTCTTAAAAGTTCTAATAACATTCTCTAAAAACATTCTAAATATGTTAAATGCTAACATTGTTAGAAAATTATTCCCTGACGTTCTTATATCATTTTCAGCGGGTAGTTTTCTTTTTGTTCCCAGAATGTTCTCTTAAAAGATGGCATAACATTCGCTAAGAACACTCTGAAAATGTTTTGTGATGACCTTCTATAAAGGTTTAATCATAACATTTTTAAAACATTATCCCCTAACTTTCTTATAAAGTTTTTAGCGGAAGTTTATTTTTGTTCCCAAAATGTTCTCTTAAAACCCCTCAAAAATGATTAGCTATAACATTGTTAAAGCATAACATTTTATTAATCTCAAAACTAAAACATCAAAATCTAACAGGTTTAAATGGCATCCACATAAATTATTAGAAGTTCTGCGTACAGTAAATGCCCAACATTACATGAAGAACTCAGTAAAGTCACTCATGCGTCTTGACTGCGGTGTTTGCTCAGAGCACTCATCATCAGTCTTTGCTTGTTTTGGTTCTTGCAGAAAAATAATCCAGGAATCTGTATTAATAATAGTGTTCTACTATTCTCTCTTCTAGTTGTCCAGCTGCTCCCCCAGTTAGCATTGAGCTGTTTTCTGTGTGCACAGTAGAGTTTTTCCTCATAGCCTAAAAAAGAAGATCATGCAAAAGTGTAAACATAAAGAATACACATACATTAAGATCACAAGCAATATTGACATTGAAAACTTTCAAAATTAGCCAGCCTAATTAGCAGTCAGAAATTATGTAAAGACTAATTTATTGAAAGTATAAATATGATAAATTATGAGTATCTTTTTTGTTTCTGTAATTTAAAACATACTTAATCCATGTATCCAATATCTTAATACAATAAAGTTTTAAAAATGGATATTTTTCTTACACAAATGCTTCGCTTTAAAAGGGCTTTATAGAGTCCCCGCCAGAGTCATGTGGTGGATTACTTTTATCATGGATGGATGCGCCTTGATAGACGGCCATTCACTGCCATTCTAAAAGTCAGAAGAGTCAGGACATTTTTTTAAATATAACTCAGATAGTATTCATCTGAAAGAAGAATGTTATATAAACCTGAAGCCTTGAGAAACGCTCTTTCCAATTCATTAACGTTAACCTCTAACGTTATATGAATTACTGAATTATTATTAACTTTTACTTTCAAAAGACATTAAGATCACTTTTAAGTAAAAATACAGTATTCGTATGCATAGAACACATACCGGCATCTTGGCTACCTTGGTTGTAAATGGAGACTTTATTGTGTCATCGGTAAGTTAATCATCTTGAAACAGTCCGTTTGGAGTCTGCATTAAAACAAATCTAGCTGTTATTCAAAAGTAGCATACACTCAGATTTAATGCGACTGTCATACAATTCTAAGAAAGTAGAAAGTTAGGTCTAATACTGAAAGACATCAAGGATAAGAGAAAGCTATGTAAACTGAAAAAAATACACACAAAAACTTACAGTTGTGAAAGAGTTCCGTTGACCAGGAGTTCTGTTGTTTTGGGCCAATGTGTCGCCAATTTAGACAACGGACATTCTGCGCCGATTTCTTCAACAGAAACGTTGCTTTATTTGCGCTGTTTGTCGAGTTCAAATGTTCTTACGTCATGGGAACATCGCGCTGTGATTGGTGGTTTTTAAACGTCGATCTACAGCGACCTCCAATCAGCTTCTCATCTCTTGTAAACGCATTTGTCGCAACAGTTCATTTCAGAGTAGCCTAATATATCCTCAAAACACTTTACCGTATGCTGTTTTGACAATGTTCCTCTTTCATTATGGAAAATTATGCCATTATTCTATAGGTTAAAATAATTCTACAATCTGTTACCTAAACAGCTTCCTTAAAATATCCTTACAATTTTATGAGCTTTTGTTAACATATATTATGAGATTTTGTCATCTCAGGTAAATGTCCACAAAACATTTGATGAATGTTGCTTTGATAATGTTCCTCCTTTGTTATTGTGCCAATGATTTATAAAAGATAACAACATTTTGACAAAAAATCCTCAAAATGTATCATGCAAAATGTTTGTTAAAAAGTCAATTTAAAGGAATGTTTTATTAAAAACATTTTATCATCTCAGGACTAAATAATATCCTCAAAACATTTTGCGAACGTTAATTTGATTATGTTCTTCCTCTGTTATTATGGTAGGCCTACATTCAATATTTTATGAAAGATCATTCTATAAACTTTTACCTCATCAACATCCTCAAAATGTTACATTTAAAACATTCTAGTTTTGTTAACACGTTACATTACAAGAATGTTTTATAAAAACATTCCATCATCTCAGGCCTCAATGATATCCTCAAAACATTTTTCGAACGTTGATTTGATAATGTTCCTCCTCTGTTATTATGGAACATTGTTTCAGTGTTTTATTGAGAACGTTAAAATATCTGTTATCTCAACAACATTCCCAAAACATCCTTAACATGTTACAGTGTTAATGTTTAAACACGTCACATTACAAACATTTTATCAAAAAACATTCCATCATATCAGGCCTCAATGATATCCTCATAACATTTTGCGAACGTTGATTTGATAATGTTCCTCCTCCGTTTTTATGGGACATTGTACCAATGTTTTATTGAGAACATTGTAATGTCTGTCATCTCAACAACATTCCGAAAACATCCTCAACATGTTACAGTGAAAATGTTCTAGTTTTGTTAACACGTCACATTACAAGAACATTTTATAAAAACATTCCATCATCTCAGGACTAAATAATATCCTCAGAACATTTTACGAACGTTGATTTGATAATGTTATTCCTATGTTTTTATGGGACATTGTTTCAATGTTTTATAAAAGATCATTCTACAAACCTTTACCTCATCAACATCCTTAAAATGTTAAATTTAAAACGTTCTAGTTTTGTTAAACACGTCACATTACAAGAACATTTTATAAAAAAACATTCCATCAACTCAGGCCTCAATGATATCCTCATAACATTTTGCGAAAGTTGATTTGATAATGTTATTCCTATGTTTTTATGGGACATTGTACCAATGTTTTATTGAGAACATTGTAATGTCTGTTATCTCAACAACATTCCGAAAACATCCTCAACATGTTACAGTGAAAATGTTCTAGTTTTGTTAACAAGTCACATTACAAGAACATTTTATAAAAAACATTCCATCATCTCAGGACTAAATAATATCCTCAAAACATTTTGCGAACGTTAATTTGATTATGTTCCTCCTCTGTTATTATGGGACATTGTTTCAATGTTTTATAAAAGATCATTCTTCAAACCTTTACCTCATCAACATCCTCAAAATGTTAAATTTAAAATGTTCTAGTTTTGTTAAACACGTCACATTACAAGAACGTTTTATAAAAAACATTCCATCATCTCAGGCCTCATCCTCATAACATTTGCGAACGTTGATTTGATAATGTTATTCCTATGTTTTTATGGGACATTGTACCAATGTTTTATTGAGAACATTGTAATATCTGTTATCTCAACAACATTCCGAAAACATCCTCAACATGTTACAGTAAAAATGTTCTAGTTTTGTTAACATGTCACATTACAAGAACATTTTATAAAAAACATTCCGTCATCTCAGGACTAAATAATATCCTCAAAACATTTTGCGAACGTTAACCTGATAATGTTCCTCCTCTGTTATTATGGAACATTGTTTCAATGTTTTATAAAAGATCATTCTACAAACCTTTACCTCATTAACATCCTCAAAATGTTAAATTTAAAACGTTCTAGTTTTCTTAACATGTCGCATTACAAGAACATTTTATAAAAAACATTCAGTCATCTCAGGCCTCAATGATATCCTCATAACATTTTGCGAGCGTTGATTTGATAATGTTCCTCCTTTGTTTTTATGGGACATTGTACCAATGTTTTATTGATAACATTCTAATATCTGTTATCTCAACAACATTCCCAAAACATCCTCAACATGTTACAGTGACAATGTTCTAGTTTTGTTAACACGTCACATTACAAGAACATTTTATAAAAACATTCCATCATCTCAGGACTAAATAATATCCTCAAAACATTTTGCGAACGTTGATTTGATAATGTTCCTCCTCTGTTATTATGAGATATTGTGCTAATGTTTTATTGAGAACATTGTTTAATCTGTTATCTCAGCAACATTCCCAAAACATCCTCAAAATGTTACAGTGAAAATGTTATATCTTAGTTTACATTTAACCTTATAGGAACATTATTTGAAATGAGAAAACATCCTTAAAACATTCTTAAAACATTGCATTCAAATGTTTTATTTAAAACATTAACCAAACCTCTAGGGAATGTTAGCCAAAGTTCTAAGAACGTTCCCTGTTAGCTGGGAAGGCTACATAACAAACATATATATATATATATATATATACTGTATAAATACACGGATTCATCACATTTGTCAGTATCTTAAAGACTAAAGCCAAACACTCCAGGTTTGATTTCATGGCTGTTTAACCCTCAGGTTGTGTTCGGGTCATGATGACACAGAGAGGATTGTCCCGGAGTAAATGTTCTTGTATTGGACTCAAGTTGACTGACTTTACTCACGTTTTTGCCCACATTGCAACACTTGTGATGTTCACGCTTATAAATCTCTCGTTATGCTTCATCATCACCAAATATTGGATTCAGTCTTTTAGACAAGTTGTTTTCTTTCAATTAGGACCGCTTTTATATTTATTTTTTGGAAATTATCAATCATATCTTATTTATCTGAGCTAACACACCTCAGTTTTGGAGTGAAAAGTGTTATTTTGAAAATGATGAAAAATGTTTTCACGGTTTATCTCTAGTTTGCTTTAATATTTAACCAGGAAATTTGTTTTGAAATGTCTTAATTTTGCACAAAATGACAGTCACACTCTGATAATCAGAGAAACAGTGTTGAGGAGTCTGAGCTCTCGGTGTGGACACAGACACAGTTACACACTTCACTCACGACAACTGTTCAGTGGCTTTTTATTCTTTGATCACGTTAAAATTCACCTCCAGCTGGTTTGTCAAATAACAGAGTCTAAAGATGTAAAAAAACAGGTTTGTTTGATGAACAGAAGAAAGGAATGCATAATAAAATCTCCAGTCTCGATGAACGTTCATAATCAAGACAGAAATTCATGGTAATAACCCCACTTTCCCAGCATGCTTCAACAAATACATTTACATTTCAGTTCATATGACAAAAACATCAAAATATTGTCCAAGATCGGCTTGTCTCCAAAAATCCTTCAATAAAGCACGGAATACAAAATATACAGGCCAAAATAGCCTGTGAAAATACATTTAAGTGAAAAAAGTCTTGATATACAAATATAAAGTTCATTCTATTCAGCTAATTCTACTCAATCATATTGTGCAAAGAGACAGAAAGAATGAGAATCACAGTAACATCCAACAGGACTGAAGTAAAAGCGTGATGAAGAGGTTCACTAGCACTGATGATGATGATGATTGATGATGATGATGAAGTCTTCGCTCAGTTACGCCAGACTCCTGTGCCGAGGTTTGATTCTGGGATACAACTGTTGAGGGAGACGAGAAAACGATTATAAGTTTCTTTGGCTTTAAGGCCCGTACACACCAGGACGAATATCAGCGTGCGTTCTTCGTCAGCGTTTTTCAACACGTTTTTTGTGTTCAAACCCAAGAGATTTTTGCTGACGATGAGCCGAGTGAACATGCAATTTCATTCCCTGACATTAGATGGCGCCAATTTGCTCTGCAATACAACTCTATATCAGTTCTAGAACACCTATCACACCAACGAGAACAGCAGATCTACATTCATCTCGCCTTGCATCTTCCTCGTCTTATTTCTTCCTGGCTGTGTAGACGAAATGCGTACATGTTGGCAGGTATGCATTTGCAAGGTTTTATATGCTGGATGTTACAGCTCAAACTGTAGCACATGCAGTAATGAGCGTAGTAGTCCAGCCCTGGAGGCGGTGGTGTGGACGGCAGGAGACTTTGAGGCAGGCTATCAGGGAATACGGGAGTTAGACTATCCCATAGTGAGACACCGAAACGTATGCTTGAAAGAGAACAATAGGTTACTTGTGTAACCCTGGTTCTCTGATAGCATTTAGTGAGGTGTCCCGCCACATCATCCTCCTCGCTGTGAGGCGAGAAGAGGTTTTTGAATGCCGTAATGACGTCGTGCTGCTCCTCTTATATTGAGGAAGGGGGTAGCCTAGCCACTCCCAGACATTTCGTCATGTGACGTGATGTAATCAGGCTTCTGAGGACTACGCGGAAGAGGCGTATCCATTAGTGAGAAAGAGAACTATTGAACTGCATTAAACTGCAGTTCATCGACTGGCCACTAGAGACAGGCTGCAAAAGAGAGTCAATCCCATAAACCCTCATGTTAAAATGCCCAACTTTACAGCAGAAAAACACGTTTACAGCCTATGCAATAAGTGGTTTTGCTCTATATAGCTAATTTTGCCCTAAAACATGATATAACTCATGTTTAAATTATATAAAGTCTTAAAGTTGTGCATAATTAAGGGCGTGGCCACTCGAATGACAGGTGGATTGTAGCTGATGTCACTACTAGCCATTTGTCTGCTAGCGTTAGCGCCACCTCAGCTATTCCGCCTCGCTGCACATTTTCATTAATCCGGGAGTGACGAAAAGGCTTCAGAAATGCTCTTCAGAAACATTCTGGTGACGTCACAGACCTTATTGTTGTACAGTCTATGTTCTCTACTCCAGCGTGGGAGAGTGTGTGTGAGTGTGTGTGAGTGTGTGTGTGGTGTCACTCACCCCCAGCAGGTTTCGGGGGGCGTACCCCTCTCTGTTGCCCATGCGCACCCACCACCACTCGGTCTCGTCCTCGTCCTCCCTGCGGACCACACTCATGCTGTCGCCCTCTCTGAAGCTCAGCTCGTCCTCCTCCTCGCTCTCGTAGTCCCACAGGCCGTACACCACGCCTCGGTTCATGATGCCCATCTTCTCCTGCACGCCTGAGAACACACGAGAACACAGCGGTCACACACACACACATCGCTGAGGACGCTTGAGTTGAGTTTATAAGTGTCATATACTAGCAACAAACAGAAGATTAGCCTCCATGTAATCAGGCTGGATTTGATGGGTTTTCTCAGACCCTGAGTTGTGCTGGTATTGTGGTACGAGTCTCTGAAATCAGCTATTACAGACTCAGAGCGGGCTCCTACATCTAAGATCTGTTTTCTGTCGATGCATGAACAAAACTTCATGAAACATTTGTTGCACGCCTGCCATTCAATAATCACAATAATCTTTGTGCTTTGTTACTTTTAATATGAAGCACTTGATAAAATAGTGTTGTCTCATGTTACTTGCAGAAAATCAAGAAAAACAAGAGATTCAATAAGACTAACAGTGTATATAACAACAATTTGTTTTTGTCGATGAATGTATCCAAACAGTTGCTCACTTGCCTAATAAAACACGTAATATATTAAAAGCGTATTTTGTGTTTCTCCATCTAATTTTCTCCTCCTACGTCGCTGTTTCTTTTTTGTAAAGGGCGTTTGACTTAGTTTTTGCACATTCCCCTTCGGAGGACATCCCGCTTGACCTTTCACCCTGATTGCGTAATGTGTGTCGCATCACAGCTCGAGCAAGACCAGCATTAGCGGTTTAAGTATATAAATGTGTGTTTTGTTGTAAATGGTTTGTCTAGATCAGACTCTTATTCCTCGGCTGGATCGTGTCGAGACTTTGAAGCTGCACTGAAACTCACATCTGACCTTCGACCCCATTGAAGTCACTATATGGAGAAACACCCTAGAATGTTTTCCTCAAAATCCTTAATTTCTTTTCGACTGAAGATAGAAAGACGTGAGCATCTGGATAAGGTAAAGTAATTATCAGGAAGTGTTAACTCCTCCTGTAAGTCCACTGTAAATGAGCCCACGAGTGGTGCAGGTCGACCCACAGTGCCTGAGTGTGTGTGTGTGTGTGTGTGTGTGTAACGCACCGTAGAGGAACTGCGAGCACTGTGTGTATCCCTCCTCCATCTCCTCACACTTGTCCGCTGCCGTCTGCATGTCGCTGTAGGTCATGGCGAACACAGCGGCCCCAGACTCCACCAGGAACTTACACACCGACACGTTATTACAGGAGGCCGCGCAGTGCAGGGGAGTCCTGGAACACACACACACACACACACACACACACACAGTCACTCTAAATGCGCACCCGCACTACATCACGTAGAGTCTGTGTGTACTCTCTCTGGGTGTGTGTGAGGGATATACTCAGATTGCACATCGTTAAAACAACAATCAGGATCTCCATCGCACAGGCAGGTGTGTGTGTGTGTGTGTGAAGCGTGTCTCACCATCCGTCGCTGTCCGCCGCGTTCACACTGACTCCGTACTGAACCAGGAACCTCACGATCTCGGTGTGACCGGCACACACAGCGTTGTGGAGCGCAGTGATGCCCTCGTCGTTCGGCTGACTCGGGTCCTCCACCTGATGGGGCGACACACACACACACATTACTGTCAGGTTCTGTCACTACGGCAACCCTCTACAACACCAGTAAATCACTCGCATAGGCGACTCAATGATGTCTATCATTGGCTGATGACCTCTCTGTGCCGCTGCCAGGTGAGCTCGCTATTTCAGGATCCGGCCGGGTATTAGCAGACACGGTTAAACTGGAGATGGACCAGATGGTTGGCATGGTAACCGGCGGCCCACTTCAGAGTGCAACAAACGGACATGAACGAACATGTTCAGACGCTACGGCCTCCTTCATGCTAATCAACGTCTGTTTATAAAGGTTTACATCCGTGTTATCACAACAGGACAGTTCTTACACACCGGACGCGAATAGCGCGTCAAATTCGCGTCTACCGCATCTAGTTTGACGCTTGACCACTTTGTGTTAATTCACGCGTCAAGAGTGAAACTGACGCGCGTAAAACAAACGTAATTTCTCGTATATTAAAATAAAGTTTTGAGTGATAAAATATTTGCTTTGTTGTGCGTTAGACCCACACAGGTATGTAGTCATATTACAAAATAATTAATTGAAGCATCCAGATCCTTCACCAGGTGAGCAAGCAGCAGGCTCCTGATTGGTTAACGCGGCATGAATTTGACGTCAAAGTTCAGATTTTTCAACTCGGGTGTCAAACGCGTGAATGCACAAATAGCACTAACGAAATCATTCGCGCTTAACGTGCCAGACGCTCAATTCGCACTATTCGCACCGCAGGAATTTTTTACGAACGTAACGCGTCTTTGCATTGACTTAACATTGAAATCACTCGTGCCTGACACGCTATTCGCATCCTGTTTGAACGCACCACGCGTCCTGTTAATACGCTTTAACACACACCATGTGCGTTGATAAGTGGACAGCATTGCTGAGTATTTCCTCCTTAAACCAGGGTTGCCGCGGTGAGGAAAATTTCCCACCGGTTAATCGATGTGTGACAACACCGGTAATCCCGGTGTCACCGTGGAGGGCAGGGCGGGGGGGTTAAATAGCTTTTAAATGCGTGCGCGTTATACTTTCACTTTCGAAATAAGCGTCAATTGCTTGAATGGACAAAAAAAACAACTCGCTGATAATAAAACTTTTATTTATAGACTTTTATTAGCATAACGAACGAATAAAAATAACCCCATGCATAGGCTGAAAAAAGTGAAAATTGGCAAAATGTGGGCCCAAACAAATAAGAACCATAAAACGTTTATTAACGAATAAGGAAATAAAATAGGCCTAAATAAATTACACAAAGTTTAAATGAGATAAAACCAATTAAAAAGAGACGAATATAAAATAAAAACTTCAAAACGGACCTTAGCCTACATAAATGACATACTTTCACTTTCGAAATAAGCGTCAATTGCAATTCAGCGTCAATTGCTGGAATGGACAAAAAAAAACAACTCGCTGACAATAAACTTTTATTTAGACAGCACTTTTATTAGAATAATAAACGAATAAAATATAGACAGAACTTTTATTAGCATAACGAACGAATAGGCTGAAAAAAGTGAAAATCGGCAAACTGTGGGCCCAAAAAAAATAAAACGTTTATTAACGAATAAGAAAACAAAATAGGCCTAAATAAATTAAACAAAGTTTAAATAAGATAAAACCAAATAAAAAGAGACGAATATAAAATAAAAACTTTAAAAAGGACCTTAGCCTACATAAATGACAGCACTCTAAAAAAAAGTAAAACACTATAAATTGGCATTTATTAACATTAATATATATTGGCCAAAATATTGCCAAACAGGCGCTTTTGCATTGCGTTTTGACACCAAATCTTCCGCCATTATCTTGCTTTTCTGTAATTTGACTCGTTCTCGTCTCCACACGTGCTAAATGGAATCCTGATGCTTGCTGATCTGTGACGTGACGGCACGCGTTGCGCAGCTCATTTTTAATTATAATGCTCTCTTCAGATCTAAATAATTGAAAATTATTATTTTTAATTAATTCAAATAAATATTTTAGCAAAAACGAATACTTTAAAAAAAAAAGTCAAGACATCGCGGTGTCACGGTGGGAAAGTGATGTCACCGGTGATGGGGCTTAAAACCGGTAACACCGTCAACACCGTCTATCGCGGCAAGCCTACTTAAAACTGCAGTGAACCAAAGACAGTCTCAAAAACACGCTGTGAAATCGCTGGTGTTTCTGACGTCACAAACCACCTTGTAACCAATCAGATCAACGTGTGATCGTCAACCAGTGGATCTCTGAGTCAGTGAGTGAGTGAGTGGAGGCGGGGCTGATTTGCATATTCATAGAGCTGCACATACTAAATAAGGCGAGGGTGTCGAGTTACATTCAAGATAACATTATTTCAAAGAAATTAAAGTTTTAAGGGTTTAATGATTGACTACAGGGGGATTTTAATGATTCCACACGTTTGACCAGCAATGTATAATAAAACACTAATAATCAATCAGACACACCGTCCATCTTCAGGTTTAAAGTGTGAAATGCAACTTTCCTCGTGAATGATGCGCTGCACCAGATCCAGCTCTCCCTCCAGAGACGAGTCCAGCAGGAGAGCCAGAGGATTGAAGTGCACTCTCATGCTGTGCTCGATGCGCTCCGATCCGGCCTTGCGCAGGTTCGTCCTCTTCCCCTGCACACACAACACACACAAGTCTCAAACTAACATGCATTGCATTGCAGGTCCGGAAGTTATCCAGGAAAGGCTGCAGCTCAAACACAATTAACTGAATCGATTGGGATTGAATCTCCCTGCAAACCTGTGAATCGAAATCTTTGTAACTGAATTGAAATGTGTGCCAATATCAAGTGTTCGCTGGACAAGACTTACGGGTGGAAAGCGAACCTGTCCGGTGACCTCCGGGGGCTTCATGCTGAAGGTGTCTTCTGGGGGCTCCTGCTCGGCTCCGCTGGGATAGGGAGGAGGAGGATACGGAGGGAAGTCTTCAATGGGGATCTCAGCAGGCGGAGGAGGAGGAGGAGGAGGAGGAGGGCTGGCCGGCTGAGGAGGTGGAGGGGAGATCGCGTCGAGGGGTTGCGGAGCCGGAGGTGGAGGGGGGATCGCAGCGTGGGGTTGTGGAGCCGGGTGTGGAGGCGGCGGCGGAGGAGGAGGGACGTTCTCTGCTTCGGTTTCTGGCGGTTTCGGCCCCTGGAGTGACGCTCCCTCAGCTCCTGCTGGCGCCTCCTTCTCCTCGTCTCCCACAGGACTCGCTGTGGTCTCCATCGCGGCCAGAGTGGTCTTCTGGTACAGGAGCTTCTGAATGTTGGGGCCGCCGGGGCCCTCGGGCTCCGTGATGGAGCTGCGCTTCTTCAGGGGTCGCGGCGCGTTGTACAGTCTCTTGCGGAGAGCCTCCAGGTCCACGTCGCTCTGGTGGCGGTAGGGGTTCGAGATGAAGGGCAGGAGCTTGGTGGGACTGAGGGGTCTGGGAGTGCGCTCGGGCTCCTGGGTTTCGGGAGCGGGACTGTGGTCCTTCTCCACCTCGGGGGCACTGGGCGGGTCCAGGTACGGGTTCTCGGGGAGCTGGTTTTGAGACGGCTGGCCTGTGGACGTCATTGGCTTCCCGTAAACTACATGAACAGGAATACGATGAAAAATAAATAAATAAATTAACAGTGTTAAAGGTGCAGTGTGTAAGTTTTAGCAGCATCTAGTGGTGAGGTTGTGAATTACACCCAACAGGCGTTACGGAACATGTGGATGTAAGCGGACTGTCAATTGGCTGTCCATGTTTTTCGTTCATCAGCTGGATAAAATCATAATATTCATAGTGTATAATGGCAAGCTAGATGAACGCTTTGATATGCTTCAAGCGAAATCTTGAATTAACCCGTGTGATGTCATTTTGAACAAATCAGGCCAAAACAAAGTTCAAATTGGGAGTTCATATCCAGATCTTTATGGTAAAGTTCGCTTTGGCGGGTAAACGCATATGAACTCCCATTGGTCAGTGTGTTGATGATGTAATAGGTGGGTGTGGCTCTAAGCTGTAAATCTCCATTTCTTCAGCTCAGACGCGAGTGAAATCACGAACACACTGGATTAACTGCTAAATGACGTCCTGGTTGAAAACAGGCCTGACTAGGGCTGGGAATCTAAAATATACTTGACCACAGGAATCGGATACTTGTGTAAAACTGAAATGTCGATTCCTTTGTTAACATTTCAATATGACAATTCCAGCGTGAGAGACTCTCGTCTGTTCTCATGTGTGTCAGTATGATGGATGCGTGCAGCTCTTAAAGGAGTAGTTCACTTTTGAAAAAACTTTTGTTGATAATTTACTCACCACCATGTCATCCAAGATGTCCATGTCTTTCTTTCCTCAGTCGAAAAGAAATTAAGGTTTTTGATGAAAACATTCCAGGATTTTTCTCCATATAATGGACTTCAATGGGGTCCAAACAGTTCAAGGTCCTAAAGACAGTTTCAGTGCCAACTGTTCAAAGGGCTTTAAACAACACCAGACGATGAATAAGGGTCTTATCATGCGAAACGATCGCTTATTTCAAAGCTTATTCCAAAAATGTAACTTTTCTAAGGACAAATGCTAGCCTTGCTCTATTCTGTGAGGCGCGTTTGTAACGTCACGTAATACGTAATTACGTTCAAAAGGTAACGGGCGACGTAGCCGGAAGTACAGAATCAAAATCGTCCGACATCGTTGTTTTACCTTTTAATTCCTTTTTTTTTGTAAACGGCGTTTGAGTTAGTTTGCACGTTCAACCTATGCGTTCAACTTGTAAACACTGACTCTGTACTTCCGGCTACGTCGCCCGTGACCTTTTGAACGTAATTACGTATTACGAGACGTTACAAACGCGCCTCACAGAATAGAGCAAGGCTAGCATTTGTCCTTATAAAAGTTACATTTTTGGAATAAGTTTTGAAATAAGCGATCGTTTCGCATGATAAGACCCTTATTCATCATCTGGTGTCGTTTAAAGACATTTGAAGCTGCACTGAAACTGTTATTAACTGTCTTTTGGACCTTGAACCGTTTGGTTCCCATTGAAGTCCATTATATGGAGAAAATCCTGGAATGTTTTCATCAAAAACCTTCATTTCTTTTCGACTGAAGAAAGAAAGACATCTTGGATGACATGGGGGCGAGTAAATTATAAGCAAATGTTTTTTTCAAAAGTGTACTCACCGCTGATGAAGTTGCTGCCGCGGGTCTGCGCTCGGCCCAGCGCTCCCGTCACGCCCTGCTGCGTGTACATGCTGTAGATGGAGCTGGTGGCCAGCATCTGGGGCTTCAGCAGGACCTCTTTGACCCCGGGAGGGTCGGGGGTGAAGGGGTGTACGGTGGCGGCCGGGGGAGCCTCGGGCTTCGAGGGGAGGGGTAGAGTACTGCCCTGTGCTAAAGCATGCTGGGAACCGGTGGGTGGCTGCGGGCTGGGCTTACTCTTGCCTGGGAAGGTCCCGGCGTTCAGGCCCGTCTTGGGTTTACTGGGAACCGGAGGAGGAACCTTGACCGTGTTCTTGACGGCGTTCTGAGAGTCGAGAAACATCAGTGTCACTTTTTAAACATCGACCTGACGGCGTCGGCATACTGAGACGACGAGAACATGTGCACTACAGGCCAAACTTGTACCTGTGCGTCTCTGGCGAGGTCTTCGCTGCTCTGGTTCTTGCGTAGAGAAGCTACAGGCGCTTCGATGGACTCGAACATGGAGGCCGGCCGCACCCTGGGGTCCCGCTTCTGCACCTCGGCTTTATCTGGAGAACAACACGGGTCTCAACTCACAATACACACGTCCAACGGGCCGTCTACACTGTACACCTCTTACTTATACTTTATTCATTTATTTTAAATATTACTTAGTCCAAATACCTAGAAATTTCAAGATGCATTTACTAGATGAGTAAAACCCTAACGTCCTGTTTTCCAAGTGAATAAATCAAAATTAAGTGAGAGTTGATGCTTAAAAGAGGCTAAATTATCTGCCAATTGGGAAAGAAAAATAATATTAATTCAAACAGAAACACGATTTATTGTCTTACCCCATTGGCAGATAATTTTGCTTGTTTTAAGCAAAAACTCACTTAATTTTTATTTATTCCCAGGGAAAACAAGACTGAATATCATATGTCATTTTACTACTTTAGTAAATGCATCAGATTTAAGAAATGTTTGATATTTGGACTGGAAACAAGACAAAAATACTAAGCAAGAGAAGCATTTTCAGCAGTGTGTGTGTTCTGTGATCTAATATCCGATCGGTGTAAATGCCCTCCGAAACGCATTCAATTAAACATATCTTGAATAAATACACGCATTCGAGACAGATTTAAATCCACTTCAGGAGGAGGTAAAACTGGACGAGTGTAAACGAAGCACATATGTAAATGTTATTCCTCTCAACAATGCTAAAAAACAAACGTGTGAGCGTGTTATAGGATGCGTCATGTTTTCATGTTATAGCCAGATATGACGCGCTACTGCAACACACATCACCAGAAATGAGCATCTATTCATCAAACCAACGCGCAAACCATCCCAAATCAAAGTGAACACACAATCATCTTCATTAAAAGTGAAGAAACTGAATGATCTTCCAGGGCTGTTGTTGCTCTCTCCTATCGCGGTCTGCTGGTGATCAATAAAACACAGATCATATCTCTTGCTTATCTGTCGCTAAATCTGCATATAGCATGGGAATTGACCCTTCGCAGGGAGTTTGATTGACAGGTGATCTGACTGACCAATCATAATCAGCAGTCAGGAGATTAACGTTGGAGGACTAGAACTGGAATAACGGTGCGCTGACGTCTTTCCTTCTGATGTCCACTCATGTTGATTTGATACTAGAAGGAAGAGATGATCGTTCACGAGCGATCCGTCAGACACATTAAAGAGCCACAAAACGGTATTAATTGTTTAAATCTCTTTAAAAAAATTGCCAAATTTGAAAGTTGAGACTGCTTCATATCAAAAGTAAGCTGGTGTGTCCTGTGTCGGTGTCCCCTGCTCTGCGATGTGTTTCACTGCGAACATGGTGTGTGTGAGAGAGGCGTGGCTTGTCGGACATAGCAACAGTAACTAAAGGGGGCGGGGCTTTGAACGGTCAATTGAAGATCGGATCCATATTGTGAAAACAAATTAGTGAGCAGGTGTGTGTGAAATGGTTTTGATAAATCAGAGAGCTCTCCGATCTGAGCAAACGCATGACGCTAACTCTACGACACAGAAGCGGCGGGGTGTGGGGGGTCACCTGGGTTATTAGATGCCTGGGTCAGCGAGCGGGGGAGACTGGTGGACCCGTTATTAATGGAGGACTTCGCCGAACTCCAGTTCGACCCCTTCGAGGACACTTTAGCTGAGGGCAGACCTGCAGACACAAAGCAGAGCTCATGTTCATCTCTCTCATGCGTAGAGTTGTGTGTGGAGTTGTGTGTGGAGTTGTGTGTAGAGTTGTGTGTATCTCTCTCGTGTGTAGAGTTGTGTGTGGAGTTGTGTGTGGAGTTGTTGAGAGCATGAGAGGCTCCACCTCTCCTCTACACGAGTGTCTCACTGAAATGTTCTCATGCTATGAAAATAGAGCACTAATAATACGTCAGGAAGTATAAAAGCACTAGTTAAGTGATGGTCATATTCACTGTAAAAGTGTGTGTGTGTGTTAAGCAAGTGCTGGTTAAGTAAGATAACTTCGTAGTGGCAAGAGGTTAAGCTTAACAATGAATCGATTATCGTTAATTTAAACAGCGGTGAATTATAGAACTTTACGTAAGTTGGCATACCCAGTGCTTGCCTACGGTGGTTACGGTTCAGCTCCACGAAAGGCACTTATTAACACACTATAAAGCACAGTAAATGTTTGTGTGCACTATAATTGTGCGAAACGCAGATGTGAGGCGAGAGGATCTCACCGGTGCGGGCGCCGCTCTCTCTCCGGCTGCGGATCCTGGCATCAGCTGACGACACACAAACCCAACACAACACATAAAACACACGGGGAGTGTGTGTACAAGATCTCTTCTCTCTGTGATATGCAGTGCATCCGTGACTTTAATATTACCATATTTTACACACGAAAGGCTATTAAAGTGTTGTTCTGTCGCATCTATCATTATCTTGTTGACTAAATATAAATATATATATATCATATCTAATATCATATACTATACCATATCTAAAAAGCTGCAAGATACATTTAAAATAAACATTTCTTAAACTTTTATTTTGGATAATATTTTATTTATTTATTTATTTATTTAGTACAGGGACAGTGCATATTCATAAACATTTCTGTCAATATGCCAGAATTAGCCTAAAGGCTATTTTTCATCCGCACTATTTTTATATTTATGTATAAATGTAAACAATTCATATAAGGGTTATATTTAAATATAAATCTTATAAATTGTTTAGACGTGAAGGTTTTAGAGGTTTTCGCTGAAGAGTAATGATGCTGAGAGTTCGATCACAGGAACAAATATTTTCAAATACACATAAGCTATTTTAAACTGTAAAAATATTTCTGAATATTTCAGTTTTTGCTGTATTTGTGATCAGATTAAAGCAGCCTTGATGAGCGGAGGAGATCTTAAACTTTTGAACGGTAGTGAATAGAACTTTAAATCTAATATATATTGTTTTTCATGAATGCATTTTATAAGAATGTATTTTTTTTAGCATTTAATTGGATTTTTTATGAAAAAATGAAACATTATTTGCATTTAGTACTTCTCGCTGTAAAATGCTAGAGGCGCACGGGGATATCTGTGGCAAACATTTTATTTTATGCCAAAAATAACTAAGATATTAAATAAAGATCATGTTCAATGAAGATATTTTCATATTGTAAATACATACAAAAATATATATTTTGTGAGTGGATGCAGCAAAAAAAAAAAAAAAAAAAAAAAAAAAAAAAAAAATCGCAAACATAAATGATTTTGATTTATTGATTTTTTTGCACCAACAGATTCCAGATTGCGTCTCGGCCACATATCGTCCTGTCCTAACACACCACACATCAATGGAAAGCGTATTATTTATTAATATAAATGAATTTTGTGGTCCAGGGTTTCAGATGTGAAAGTGTGTGCAAACCTGCTGCGGGATGAGCGCTCTTCTCCTGATGCGGGACCGTTGCACTGCCTTCTGGGTAAGCGTGTTTGATGAGCAGGTCCTGTTTGCTGGAGCCCCGGGGCATCGTGGAGGACTGGATGTAGGGGCCCACGGCCGCCACACGGGACACTCCTGTAGGCGGAGCCGGCTGGCCGTCGGGAGGACACTGGAGAACATCACACACACACACACACACCTTAGGTGCGTCACACATACGTACAAGTGCACTAGTCTATGACATTTGGTAGTATCAATAGTGCAAGTAGTGCGTTCACACTGAAAAAGAACAAGTGCACTTTATGTTCCCGGACGATGCCCTCATTTAAGCGCAATAACTAAGAGTGGAGCGCTGGACACTTCCTGCACTCGCGCCGCTTTGGAGACAGACAAAAATACACTTAAAGTTCATACACTACATGGTTGAGTACATAGTGCATAAGTGTATAGTGTGTCACATTAGGACACAGCTCTTATCTTTAAAGTTTATGAAAAAAATATTCGTTTTTTTAAACAAAAGCAAATGACTTGATAGATTAGTCAGATCCGGTCCTGAAACTGTCCCTATGATATAACATCTATGAGCAGCAGCAGTGTTGGGGGTAAATCATTACAAGTAACTTGAGTTATGTAATCAGATTACTTTCTCAAGTAACTAGTAAATATTGACACTTTGGACACAGCTTTGACATGTCCACTTCAGGGGCCTATACCATGAAGCCGGTTTAGGTGGCTAGCCAGCTATGTTGCAGTTTAGTTTGTGCCAACCATGGGTTTTAGGTACCATGAAAGTGGTTTGGCTTTTACCAGTGTTCATCGCCATAGTAACTTACACTCCACGGCTAACCTGGTCCGAGGCAGGTTATGTTCCAGATAAGAGGTTGCAAACCGAACTTGGACCAATCAGCTGTGAGCAAAGTGACACATGTGTGACGTGATAGTCACTCCACAGCAAATGATTTTAAAAAACAAAATCATGGCTTTTAGTATGATTTATAAATTATTTCTGTAATTATTATACCCTAAAACCATCTCACACGTACAATTTCAGTTCATCAATTATTATTACACAGATTTTAAATGGACACATACAGTATATAAAGGTAATATAAACATAGAATCGATAAATGAAGCTATAAAATGACTACATGTGAGCTTAAATGTTCTATATCTTTACCAACTGTATGAACTAACTTCACAACTTTTACTTGCACTGATATACAGTAGCGAGACTTTCTTTTAGTTGTCCTCTTTCACAAACAGCTATTTTCTTCTTGCTGTGTACATTTTTTAAAATTCGTAATATTTTAATACTTTTATTTAATAAATGAATTGCGCTACTTCTCTCGTGAGAAATTAATTTCAATTAGTTTTGAAAGAGTTTCACTCTTTCTTACCATGTGATTGGCTGTTTGCTACTGATGTCACACCTAAACTCAGGATCAAAGCCTGAGTTGACAGAGAAAGTTGAAGATCAGCATCATGGTACCAACAAAGCCTGGTTGGATTGGTTTGGTTTTGTCAATTCGAAACCCTGAGATTGTTCAACTACAATCATGGTACAGCCCACGGGTGTCCTCACTTTTGTTGCCAGTGATGTTGACCATAATGGCTGTGTGTGGAGAGGACAGTAGATCTACACTGCTATACAAGCAGCGCACTGACTACTCTACATATATCCACGTTTCATTTCTATAGTGTTCTCCCTTGAGTAGATGTACTAAAATGTTTGCTGAACTGTGAGGGGTGTACTGACTCCAGTGAGATACACATCTACTTTGCTTATTGCGCCCTCTTGTGGGCACAGGAGACACTACAGTTCTTTTATCCGAGTAGTTCACTTTTGAAAAAACTTTTGCTGATAATTTACTCGCCCCCGTGTCATCCAAGATGTCCATGTCTTTCTTTCTTCAGTCGAAAAGAAATTAAGGTTTTTGATGAAAACATTCCAGGATTTTCTCCATATAATGGACTTCAATGGGAACCAAACGGTTCAAGGTCCAAAAGACAGTTTCAGTGCAAACTGTTCAAAGGGCTTTAAAGGATTCCAGACGATGAATAAGGGTTTTATCAAGCGAAACGATCACTCATTTAATAAATAAATAACAAAGTTTAAGTTTTATAAGCTCAAATGCTCGACTTCTGTGCTCTGTTCTGTGATGAGCGTTCGTGACTCTCCTGTTCGAACTCGTTCATCAAAATGAACGAATCTTTTTCCGAGTCAATTTGTTCGTTTGGTTTGTTGAAAGAACCAAATGACTCGGAAAAAGATACGTTCATTTTGATGAACGAGTTGGTTCCCATTGAAGTCCATTATATGGAGAAAATCCTGGAATGTTTTCATCAAAAACCTTCATGTCTTTTCGACTGAAGAAAGAAAGACATGGACATCTTGGATGACATGGGGGCGAGTAAATTATCAGCAAAAGTGAACTACTCTTTTAATCATTGCCTTTAGAATTTGAATATAATTAGAATTTTGGTAATATTTAAGAAAGAAATTCAAACTGAGTTTTTCAGACAGAATAGCTGCTCAGTGACGAGTGTGACGAGTGTGTTCACTCACAGGAAGGTTCTCCTTCTGCTGTAGCGCCGCCTTCTTCTTCCACAGGCGGTCTCGCAGTTCGTTCACTCGCTTGTCCATGTTGGCCACCTCGTGGTTCCTCTTGTTCAGGTTCTCTCTCTGCTGCTGTAGTCTGCTGTTCTGCTCCAGGTTCATGTTCTTCCTCATCTGGTGAACACACACACACACACACGTTTGTGGGGACTCTTCATGGACACACACGGAGCCGTCTGTCGGGCAGTACCTGCAGGTCCCTGTAGAGTCGGTCCAGCTCGGCCCCGGAGCTCGGGTCTCTGTGGAGCGAGTCCGTCGGCCCCAGTTTCAGGCTCTCCAGCTGTTTACTCAGATCCTCCACTCTGGACACGGCCATCACCAGCTCCTTCTGCTTCTGGAGGAGCAGCGCGTTCATCTGCTCCACCTGCTCCACTGAACCACACACACACACACAGAGTATGACTCCAGATCCTGAGCTTTTTGAATAAGTACATGATCCACCACATTCATTTCCACATGAATATTCAGATATAACAGATAAGAGTTAATATTTAGATTCTGGAGAAGCGTGATCCGCGAGGCTCACCCAGTTTGCCGTTGCTGATGCGCTTCTGCTCGACCTGGCCCTTCAGCGCCCGCACCGCCTTCAGCTGCTCCTCCTGCTTCTCCACCGCGCTCCTCAGGTGCTGGAGCTTCTGCTGCTCAGACCTCGCCTGCTGATGCCGGAGCTCCTGCTGCCTCAGGAGAGCCACACGCTGCTCCTGCAACACACACACAGGACATCAGAGACCAGATCTATACATCCAAATCAGACAATTCATGTAAAAAGCATCACACTGTAAAAAATAACCGTGATTTTAACGGTAAAATACTGTAAAAATGCTACAGTGCAAAACTGTTAATTAGTAAACAGAAAGTTTCCGTACTATACACGATAAATAACTGTGATATAATTTTACAGTAAAATACCGTTAAATTTACAGTTTTAGAACAGATCATTTTATAATTTACAGTGAAAAACCGTAAATTGACATTCCCACAATTCCCTGTGTGACACTTCACATTTTATGTATTTTTGTTGCAATAACTGTTTTTTCATAGTTTTATTTTTCTAATCGGTTATGTACATTAGGGTTTTATGTTACATTTAATGTTGTTAAATTAATGTTTATTTCATGTGTGTTACCATGATGGTGCTTAATGTGTGTGTGAATGCCACTGTGCAACTTCTTTAAATAAGTATTGCTTTATACAAGTGTTCACTTGTGATGAGCTGTGATTGCTCATGTAACTCTGATCACTGCTGTGATGATTGTTGGTTGTCAGTGTGTTACAATGGTCTAAAACAGATATCAATACATCAATAAGTTGGTAAATCCACAATTTATCAGAAAATAAAATACGGTTTATTACTGTAAATTTTAAGCTAAGTCTGTAATATCATTAATGTTCCTACCGTATTTTTATCGGTAAAGTTCTGGCAACCACAGCTGCTGTTTTTTACCGTAAAATTGACGGGTTTTTTTTTTTACAGTGAACAACAGCTCAAATACAGGCTTCAACAAAAACAAAAAGTTTTAGAAAACGATCGATCTCACAATTCAGGCAATAAAACCTTTTATTTTTTAAGAAAAGGGATGAGACAAATTTATAGTAAAGTCACCTTTGTTTATATGGCGCTTTTATACAGTACATTTTTTTATAAAGTAAGAGTGTTTCAGAGCAGCTTTACAGTCAGAACAGGAAAATAATGCAACATAGTTTGTTCCAAGAAGAAAATAGTGTCACAGTCCAGCTAAAGTAAGTTCAGAGATGGAACATTTTTGTTGTAAAAAAGACATTTAGTTAATTTATGTATAGATCCGCTCTGGAGAAAACAGTTATTCTATTATAAACCATTATGCGTATGCAAGCACACGAAAGCACAGTAGCTTCTTATTAAAGGGTTAGTTCACCCAAAAATGACAATTCTGTCAGTATTTACTCACCCTCATGTTGTTCCAACCCCGTAAGACCTTCGTTCATCTTCGTAACACAAATAAAGATATTTAAGATATTAAGATCGCTCCTGCATACAGTACATAGGCTTCTTCAGGGAATGACTCTTACTGTCCCCGAAAAGTCATTAAAGACATCGTTAAAATAGTCCAAGTGACTACAGGGGCTCAATCTCAAGTTTATCAAACGACGAGAACACTTTTGTGCGCAAAAAAACAACAAAAATAACGACTTTATTTCAACTATTCACTTCCTTCTCCATCAGCCTGTAAGTCAGTTAACGTAGTGTGATTGCGTAGAGCTACGTCACACGTAGGCTCACTATTGGCCGACGCTGGTCATGTGTGTGTGATGCGTGTGACGTACAATAACAGAAGCTTACGCTATTAAACTAGTAACCTGACTCGCGCAGAGGGAGAAATAAACCAATAGTTGAAATAAAGTCGTTATTTTTGTTGTTTTTTTGCGCACAAAAAGTGTTCTCGTCGTTTGATAAACTTAAGATTGAGCCCCTGTAGTCACTTGGACTATTTTAACGATGTCTTTAATGACTTTTCGGCGACAGCAAGAGTCATTCCCTCAAGAAGCCTATGGACTGTATGCAGGAGCGATCTTAATATCTTAAATATCTTAATTTGTGTTGCGAAGATGAACGAAGGTCTTACGGGGTTGGAACAACATGAGGGTGAGTAAATACTGACAGAATTTTCATTTTTGGGTGAACTAACCCTTTAACCCAGCAGTTATCATTTACAGCACTAAGTGTATGATCAGCAAAAGCATGGGTTTGAAGTTCTGAGTGAAAATGCGAATCTCTGTCAGTAGGTGGCGCTTATGGAACTGCAGAAATAAATTGGTTTCCTCGGTGATAGAGCAACTTACGGTTATAAACGCTGCTTTATTAGGCATTATTTTAGAAACAAGCTCTGTTTGTCATTTAATGTTAGAAAGAGGTTAGTTTCTGCTACGAAATTGAAATTACAAACGCTGTTGCCTATGGAACGTTTCAATCCTATTATTCGATCACTCAAAGTAGTTTTTCACTCATTGATTTGTAATTGTTTTTAAGTGTTTTAATTGTCTATTTGTTGTTTCAATCTGTAAGCTGTGACTGTAACTGCTGTCCATTCTTGGCCAGGACTCTCCCGTGAAAGAGATTTTTAATCCCAGAGAGATTTTCCTGGTTAAATAAAGGTAAAAAAAACTTTGATTAACCATTGTTTTGTTTTTTCCCACTGTCCCTCTGATCAGTAGCACCGTTTCGCTCAGGCTTTGGCAGGGCACAAAGGCCAGTGTTGGTAAATAGCACCGTAATGCTCTACCAAAATGTAGTTCATGTTTAATTCAAGCACTTTCGAGGTGTTTGTTTTTACAGACGTTCCAGTCCTTGAATCAACATGTCTGAATGTCAAGCACAGAAGCGTGGGTCACCTGACTGTTCACAAGGTTACAAACAATGAAAACAATCTCTTTTTTGTGCATTTTATCAGGTTTGGGATCGGTAAGATTATTATTATTATTTTTTTTTTTTATTAGTCTCTTCTGCTCACCAAGGCTTAATTTATTAAATTAAAATGCAAAAAAAGAATAATAATATTGTGATATATTATTCCAATGTCAATCAGCTGTTTTCTAGGTGAATTTACAGTAAAGTGTAATTTATTCCTGTGATCAAAGGTGTCACATGATCCTTCAGAAATCACTCAAATATGATGATCTGATGCTCAAGAAACACTTATGATTATTATCAGTGTTGAAAACAGTCCTGTATTAATGTCACGATACTTTAATGAATAGAAAGTTGCTGTTTATTGTCTATTACTGATATTTTAAGTAAATAAATGCGGCTTGATGAGCAGAAGAGACTTGTTTAAAATGTTCCCGATCCCAAACTTCTGACTGGATCTTGAACAGAAGTGCTCCTGAAATCAGTCGTGTCCGTATACCGTGTACCTTTGAGGCCAGGAGCTGCTGCTGCGCGTCGATCTGACGCTGTTGTTTAGCCGCCATCTCCTGCAGCTCCGCTAGCGTCAGGTCCATCCGCGGGCCGCTCACCTGCACACACACACACACACCTCAGTAAACACTCCTCCGTTTCCTGCTCGACTGCATTCCTCTCATAGTTTCATCCGTAAGAGCTCGTCACAGGGCGCCGGATCGAGTTTAAAAGCCAGTGAAACTCACCCCGTTCTCCGCGCGTCTGTCGGAGGGTTTCTTCACGCCGGTCCTCTTCTGACTCCTGGAGTCTGAAACACACACACACACACACACACTTAAACACAGCTTGAGATCTGATCTGTGAACTCCTCAACACTCTTTCAGGAGGTTCATAATTAAAACTTCCTGATCGTTTACTCTCCCCCTCGTCCTCCAAGATGATCACGTCTATGTATAAAGTTATATATTTATTTATTTTTTTTAATTTGTAGAAAAAGACAAAAGGGACAATACATATTAATGAACATTTTTCACAAATGTAAATATGCCAGATTATAGCCATAGGCTAATTTCCATCTGCAGACCCCCAAGCAGGTCGATGTTACACAAATACTTACAGACACACTATGCACATATACAGAGAAGCAAGGACAATAACAGTGATCACAACATATTGCACAGACCCCTTTTACACAACCCATGCTATCCTAACTCCTATTACACAACCCATAAATAATATTATAAAGTATATAAATGTGTGTTTTGTTGTAAATGCCGCTGGTTTGTCTAGATCAGACTCTTATTCCTCGGCTGGATCGTGTCGAGACTTTGAAGCTGCACTGAAACTCACATCTGACCTTCGACCTGTTTGGACCCCATTGAACTCACTGTATGGAGAAACATCCTGGAGTGTGTTCCTCAAAAACCTTCATTTCTATCCCACTGAATGAAGAGAGACGTGATCATCTTGGAGGACGTGGAGGAGAGTGAGCGATCAGGAAGTTGTGATTGTGAAGTGCACGACTGCTGTCAGATCAGTGGTGTGAAGCGTGGCGTACCTGATGATGCTCTGCCGTGACGGAGGAAGAACCGAACCTCAGGTCTCGTCTGACCCCACTGCATCAGCAGATCCATCATCTTCTCACTCTCCCCTACGGCACGCTCTGAGCACACACACACACACACACACGTTATTTCCATGGAAGTAGATCCAGCAAGTCTTGACCGCATTACAGTTTGATATCAGTTCACCAAATGATTTCAGTTCCTAAGGGTTTTACAGCCTCAGACATTTTTTTTGGTAAGCAACTACATTTTTAAAGGGTAACTAAACCCCTGGTCAGAGCCTGACTCCACCCACTGGCAATATTTGGAAAATGCTGGAAAAGTGGGCGGAGCCCAGCGGATGGGGGCGTGCACCTGAGACGCATCTCTTTGTATGAAACTTGCCTACGTCACCAACAACCGCACCATCGCAAACATCCAATAGGAGAATTCAACTGCAGTAGCCACCGTTCAACCTGAAGAGGGCAGCACTAAGACGCTTTTACACCATATATTGTAGAAATAAAACACTTTATAAACAAATGCCAAAAAAGTTACTCGAATCAATGACTGGTATTAATAAAGATCCATTCTTACAGGTCATTAACTAAAAAAAGTTGGTTAAGTGTTTAGGTACTCTTTAAGTTATTCCAGCCATTCAGAGCTTCTGCTAGCCAAAAAAGAGCATTTATAAAATATAGGCCTGTATATAATAACATTTCGATTTCATACATTAATTTCTTACTCAAACACAATCCTCATCCAGCGTCTCCTCTTCCTCTTTCCTCCTCATCAGCACAAATGTGTTTTATGTGGACAGATCAATACAGGACAGAGAACATGGAGGATGCTGGGAAACAACAGTGTCTTTTCTGTTAAGCAAATGCTTTTTAATCTTTTCTATAGCTTTAATGCAAATGAACAAGCGAGACGTTATTAGTTGTGTAGTGACGTGTGTGTGTGTTCAAGTAATCCAGATATGAGCAGATCTGTGTAATACGCTGTATTTAATATATCACGATGTTTGTGTTTGTGTTTAATCTGTGCAGATTTGTCTAACTCGAACTTCTGTTCAGCAAAGTGAGTACACATAATAAGTAACGTCGTGATTTGACAGCGTAACCCGCCAGCTGATCTCAACCCCTGTGTGTGTGTGTGTGTGTGTGCAGCGGTTCTCACCGGAGCCTCGCCACACCTCGGCCAGATAGCAGCTGCTGTCCCCGGGGCCGCGGCACAGCTCCAGCACATCGGCACACAGCGTCTCCGGCGTGATCGGCACCTCGCTGAAGTGCTGGTCGTTATTACTGAGGAACACCGTCAGGAACATCTGGAACACACACACCACATGCACAGTTACACACAGGCACGGTTACACACACTAATTTCTAAATGTTGATAAAAATCTATTGTGAAATGAAAGTGTTTCCATTTTCCGATGTTATGCGACAAACTAAAGGCCGAGACATTATTATTACCAGATGGAGACGTGTGTGTGTGTGTGTGTGTTATTCAGCATTACTGCGAAGTAAAGACTCTTATACTGCGAGCGGCTCGTGTGAGGACTTCTGGGAGATTCTCCTCAGTTCTGCTTCAAGCTCTTGATAAACTGTGGCGTTTCTGCCGACGCATAAACGAGGCTCGTGACAGTGCGTCCTCGTCACCAAAGTTTAAGCCTTGACAATAATTAACAAGACATGAAAGGAAGTTTGTTCAAACATCCAGACACTACACTGAGCTCTCTCGCGTCTTCTGGCACCCCAGCGGACACACACACACACACGTCTCCTAGTCAACACCGTTGGTTATGTCATTAACGTAAACAGCGGAGAAAGAAAGCGCGCGTGTATCAGTGCATTCAGTCTTAAAGTGACAGCAGCCTAATATTCCTGCTGTGTTTAATAGGGCTGCGATTCATCCGAATCGACCCGCAATCACGACTCGGCTTAGTGCGATTTATTTACATTTTTAATGAAATAAATATCCGCTAATAATATCTGCTAGTGAGGAGCGGCTCCGTGATCCACAGTGTATCCGCAGTGGATTCATATGTGGCTCATATTTCATATTAAAGTCATTGACTCGATTTTTGATAGTGCATACTTGTTATTAATATTATTATAGCTATAAATAAAAATATTGCACTAAATAATTTTTTTTTTTTACTGTTACAACAACATATTCATTATTAAAATAATCATTATTATTATTAGTTCTATTACCCAAAATGTTGGTAAACAACTCAAATTAAAATTGAAAGATCATGTTTTGAATTGGTACATTATATTCAAATTACTAATCTTGTAAAAATCACCAATGGAACAGAAGAAGTTGATGGTGAAAATACCTGTTCCTTTTTTTTTTGTCAAATCTATGACATACACATTTCATAAATATGCCTACTAAATCGTAGAATCGAGATTAAAAAGTCGAAATTGTGACTGACTTTTACGTCATATTATCTCATAAAATTACGATTTACAAAAGCACGATTTTTGTGCCGAATATAATGACATCAGAGATCAAAAAGATTATGCTTATATTAACTATGAGAGCTCGATGAACATTAACCTATTACAGTCACATGCGCATAATAAAATAAAAAAATAATATATAATAAAACATAGTATATATATATATATATATATATATATATATGAAGAGTTCAGATGCAAAAGCCTCTAAATGCCATTTGAAATTTTCTTCTAAAATGATGATTTTTATCAAGCTTGTATATTTAAGTTCAGTAATTTCACTTAAATGACAATTAATAGGTCATCTTCATTGCCATTTAAGTGAAATTACTGAACTTAAATATACAAGCTTGATAAAAATGATCATTTTAGAAGAAAATTTCAAATGGCATTTAGAGGCTTTTGCATCTGAACTCTTCATATAATTACATATATAATAAAACTATATATAAAACTATATTTATACACACACACACACACACACACACACACACACACACACACACACATATATCTGTTTTCTTCTTTAATATCTCATCTGTCATGACATGACAGATGAGATATTAAAGAAGAAAACAGACTGAGGTTTTATGATGAAGTAAATGAACACAAACACGTTCACTCACCGGCATCATTTTCGCGTCGTCTGAGGATCTTCGCCAGCCGGATCGGAATGTGTGATTGTTCGCTGATTGTTTTACTAAAGTTATAAATCTAGGAAGATTTTAAGAGACAAACACCAGGTTCCTATCAGATAAAGCAAGTGCCCAGGCGTGTGACGTCAGAGGCCTTCCCAAACTTTCCATCGGCGAGAGTTTCTGTTGGCGAACATCGGACGACCGATCACGAATGTCAAATATTGTTTTATTTCCCACAGAAGCGATCAAATGTTCACGCGGAAGAGACTTTCCAGTGTCTCTTATTACAGTTCAAAGTGTTTATTTGTTGCTTGCGATGTTTCTCTCGCTCTCCGCTCTTGCGCTGACGCCTGTTGCTGCTGAGGAGCGCGTGACGTCACGCACAGGAAGCTCATCCCACTGGAAAACTCGAGCCAAGATGGCGGAAGGTTGTTTTTTGTCCTTTGACATATATATATTTTTGTTGTATGCCAGTTCAATAGTATGTAATGTAAGGATACAATAGTTAATGGGAGAAGAGGGGATTTTTTTTTGCAGTTGAATCACTTGCAAAACGTTTGGAAGGGCTCGACACTGCCGCGCTGTCGCCATCCGCTGGCGAAGACGTGCAACTGCGCCACAAACCCACATGTGTTTCCCACACACTTTTAACATGTTCATTAATTCTACATATAGGCTGTTCAACATAGCTTTTTGTAGAATCTGAGAGTTTCTATAGAGTTCAGATTCTGCCTCCACTGATAATTTTTGGTTGCACCTTTGTCATTCAAAACAAACCTGAAAACTAGGCACTGGGTTAGTGTGTTTATTGCTTTGCCAAAATCACAGTTGCAGGTGTTTAATAGGCATGCCATGCCATAGCCAGCAAAAAAAAAAAAAAAAAAATTAACAAATTTTTGTTCACTGGTGTTAACTTCTATGTCTATTTAATTTAGAGGAAAATCAGCTAATTAACAGTGTAAAGTGACACATGAAATTGTCAGAAATTAGTTAATTAAATCACAATCATAACAAAGACCCCAGATCACACTTAAAATATGGTAAAGAGTGATTTTTTTGACAACCCAATGTTCACCATTTTTAAAATTGTATATTGTTAAAAATTACATGGCAAGATTTTATTACACATGAACTCAATTAAAATAAATAAATATACATTTCAAATAGCTTTCACCCTACAGATTATATGTAAAAATGTTATGATTGGATGCTATTTATAGCAGTGTTATTTTAGTTTTATCGTTGTTTTATTAATATTTAGAACTAGCTTTTATTTTTATATTTTTTGTTTTTATGTTAATTTTAGTGTAATTTTGACCCATTATGTGCTTTTGTCATTTTATTAGTTACTGCTATTTATTGCAGTTTATTTCCAAGGCAATCTTTTCAATTTTTTTGGTTTAATTTAAGTTTTCCAACTAATATTTTTTAAGAGCTCTTGTCATGTCAAGCGTAGCCAGACGGTGGCGCAATTCACCGTGTGTTTACTGTAAAGTATGTGAACTGCAGAGCCTGATGGGTCAATGATTCACTTGTTTGAGTCGGTTCTATTCAATGAATCGGTCAAAACGGTTTAAATCGGTTCTTGATTTGTTCGGGCAGTTCATGTCATGAGCGGAATGAATCATGTGAGTCATTGTAACGAACACAAAGTACAAAAACGCTGGATAAATGGGAAAATTATAACATTATAAATTGGAAAAACTGCAATCCATTGAAACGAGCCTGAAACGCGTGAGGTTTTCCAGCGATGAAGAAGATGTTTATTACCATCAGCCTGCAGTTTGTGAATGACTCAGGTAAACGCATTTTCAAACTAAATTGACTAAACTTATTTTGTTTTCCAAACTAAAATAAACAAGAGAGCACAGAACTTGAAATGACTTCTATGTCTATTCAGAAGGTATAGCCTATCATCATTAATGTAACGCTAGGTTATGTTTTCTTGTTTGTTTTTACACATAACGTTAGGCCTACCGTAGGCCTATTCTTTGAACCATAGTTTAGTGACTCAAAATCCTGCCTTCAAACTCTGCAATCTTTGAATTTAAATGAACCAATATTTAAATCAGCTTTTTGCAATGCACATTTTGTGTAATGTTAGTTATCAGTTATTTTATCTACAGGTCGCTACATTTCTTACCTATTTCTGCTCATCCCAAATCAAATACAGACAGCACTGAAAGATTACATTTGTTTGAATGTAATGCATTAGTGAGAGAACAATTCAATTGCGTGTGTGAATAAGTGTTCTCTGTTTAAAATCTGCTTTCACCTGATCTCATTAATGTGCGTAGCCTATCTAAAGCACAAATTTTATTTCTCGTACCATTTATATACCAAAAATAGTTGTTGTCTGCGTATTATACACAGTTTTTGCATGTAATACACACGCACTCCACACCCCTTATCCTACCCAAAGGGTTTAGTGCTCATCATTTGCACGCATCATCGTTTTCATCGTTCACATTGAACACATTTCATCGTTCCTAAAGACCCCGGTGCTGCCCACCAAACCGGTCAGAACAACATCAACGTTGGTGGGCAAGGCTTATGCTGCCTCTGGTCATGTCTCCACACTATGGGGGTGAGGCAGGTCTACCAGGCAGAAATGTTAGTAGACCTTAAAGGTATAGTTCACACAAATTAAAATCAGCCCATGATTTACCCACTCTTAAGCCATCCTAGGTATATGACATTCTTCTTTCAGACGAATACAATCGGAGTTAGGCTATATTTAAATATTTCCTGGCTCTTCCAAGCTTTATAATGTCAGTAAATGTCTGGTTTCTGTTTTGAAGTCCATAAAAGTGTGTCCATCCATGATAAAAGTGCATCTATTCATGGTTAAAGTGTGTCCATCCATAATAAAAGTCCATCCATCCATGATAAAAGTGTGTCCATCCACTCCATCCATGATAAAAGTGAATACATCCATGATAAAAGTGTGTCCATCCATGATAAATGTGCATCTATCCATCATAAAAGTGCATCTATCCATCATAAAAGTGCATCCATTCATGATAAAAGTGCATCTATCATAAGAAAAATGCGTCCATCCATGATAAAAGTGCATATATTATCATAAAAGTGCATCCATCCATGATAAAAGTGTGTCCATCCATGATAAAAGTGCATCTATCCATGATAAAAGTGTGTCCATCCATGATAAAAGTGCATCTATCCATGATAAAAGTGCATCTATCCATGATAAAAGTGCATCTATCCATGATAAAAGTGCATCCATCCATTAATAAGTGTTTATCCATGATAAACGTGCATCCATCCATGATAAAAGTGTGTCCATCCATGATAAAAGTGCATCTATCCATAAAAGTGCATCCACCAATGATAAGTGTCCATCCATGATAAACGTGCATCCATCCATGATAAAAGTGCATCCATCCATGATAAACCTGCATCCATCCATGATAAAAGTGCATCCATCCATGATAAACGTGCATCCATCTATGATTAAAGTGCGTCTATCCATGATAAAAGTGTGTCCATCCATGATAAAAGTGCATTCATCCATGATAAACATGCATCCATCCATGATAAAAGTGCATCCATCCATGATAAACATGCATCCATCCATGATAAAAGTGCATCCATCCATGATAAACATGCATCCATCCATGATAAAAGTGCATCCATCCATGATAAACGTGCATCCATCCATGATAAACGTGCATCCATCCATGATTAAAGTGCGTCCATCCATGATTAAAGTCCTTGACGGCTCTCCCTGGAAAATTACGATCAGGAGGGACCTACTGGCCCAGGCAGGGGGCTCAATATTACACCCCCTCCCAGAACTGTGGAAGCTGTGGGCTTAGCCTCTGAGGGGGCCCAGCTCATAGATGCTGGTCTCTCAACCGAGGTTGTTGAGACCATTCTTCACTCCAGAGCTCCCTCCATGAGAAAACTGTATGTATTGAAGTGGGGAGTTTTCACCTCTTGGTGCAGTGGTCATCAGCTAGACCCACTTAACCCAGTTCAAGTTCCAGCAAGAGCGATTTCCTGCAGGTCTATCCCCTGTCAACTTTTAAGGTCTATGTGGCGGCCAAAGCTGCTTACCACATTCCTTTGGGTGGGATGTCTTTAGGGAGAAACCCCTTGTTCCTCCTGGCTGTCACCTCTCTAAAAAGGATAGGAGATAGGCGCCAGGCATGGTAAAGGCATTCCTTCACCCTAGATCAGGGTAACCCAAAAGTTTCCACTAATGTGGCCAGATCCATTATTCTGCAGGCCTTCTTTCCTCCTCCATTCCAGGATGCAGACCAGGAAAGAAATCATTTATTTTGCCCAGGTAGGACATTGGATGCTTACGTCCACAGCGTAGAGCAGAACAACTGTTCGTAAGTTTTGGACCACCTATTTATTTATTTATTTATTTAATGTTTTATTTATATAGGGACAGATACAATAAACATAGATAAAACTGTTACAATAGCCATCCAATGCGTGTTTGTAGCTAAAGCTAATTTGCAACAACCTAATAAAGGGTCACCAGCATCTAAGGCTATCTCTATTACCTATGAATCGGCCAGACTGCCTACCCATTTGGCAGAACGGGTTCATTCGACTTGGAGTATGGCTGCCTCTAAGGACTTTGTGTCAGGAGTTTCACTTCAACATGTTTGTGATGGGGCGGGCTGGTCCTCACCACAGACATTCGTGAGGTTTTCCGACCTAGACTTGGGCTCCACACCTGGGGCTCAGGTACTCTCATCTTAGTGCATTCTCGATTCACACTATACAGTCACTGGTCATTATGGTGGCATGGGTATAGACGTTCACACAGCGTCAATCGACCCAACGCGAGTTCGCTCTAAGGGAACGCCTCGGTTCAGCCTGTAACCTCGGTTCCCTGAAGAAGGAACAAGTTGTTGCGTAGCCCTGCCATACTCGACTTGCTTCAGCCTATTAGAAGCTAGTGTTACACTGTTTGGGCAGGCTTTATAGTTTTCAGTCTGTGATGTCACCCGCCTCTGATGTCGCGTCACACTATTAGACTGATTTTATTTGAGCTTCACGACGCAATCACACAGAGCGTTCCCACAGCGTCAACCGACGCAACGTCTTGTTCCCTCTTCAGGGAACTGAGGGTACAGTTGGAACCGAGGCCTTTTGGTGGTTTTAGATTCAATGAAATCAGGTGGATGTCATTGTTTAGCGGCTTGTTTTGAGTTAGATTTTGTATAGAGAAATGCATGTAACAAACTTTTGCAATGTCATTTTATCCACAAGGGGGAGCAGTGGAGGAATGTGTGTGAAGTAAATCAGATGCCAAGTGTGGAGAAGTCTTTTCAGCATATCCTTTTGTCCAAAAAAAGCTTTCATTAAGATGGACACATTGTTATTGTTGCTGACACTTTACACTGGA